AGATTTCACTTGTAAATCACATAAAAGCAGCAACTGCATGAGGTTGGGAGTGACCCCCTGCGTTCCTGGCCTAGAACGGTACACACACACACACACACACTCATTTCTACTGGAGGACATGTCTGAATGAGCTTCTTGGTGTTGAAGGCTCTGGATAGCGCGAGCGAGTTCTGAACTTGCTTGACGTTTTCCCTGCCCGTCATACAGGTAGCACAAGCCTAGTCCACCTGGCACGTAGAGGACCTGATAGGCAAGCATTCCAGCCCGTCTGTTCCACGGCTAAAACGTCTCCCCTGCCTGCCGCCGTTGTCGCGAAGTTGTGAACCGCTGCTCCAGTGGTGGCTTCCACCTGAATCTGCCGTTTCTGTTTACAATGCATCTTGACTCACATCATAGCACCACAAAACTGCTCTTGAAGCTGTCTCAATACTTACTATTCCCTTGCCAACGTTGCATGAACGCCTGGCATGCGGCTGCAAGCTCCTTGGTGCAACTCTCCCTGGAACACTTCAGTCGTTGAAGGGCATGATTTCACGCTCAAGACTCAAGACCATGAACGAAAACTCAGACAACAACACATACCACCATGTGTGGATTCGGAGCTTGCAATTGTTCCAAAGCTGTCATGATTCAGGCCGAGGAGCTGCAAAAAAGGCATAGTTGACGCTTGTCTATCAACCTGCAGCTACATCTCCCCACATCAACTGTCAATGGCCACAACAACCCGGATAGCTTGTGCTTCCCATGCCCATCCAAAGACAGCCTCCCGCTCAGCAAATTCGCTCGATTTCAGCGACATGACGTCCTTCCGTCTTAACTGTTTTCGGAGAAGACAAATACTAGTAGAGGTCTTCCCTGTTTTGACCAAAAACAATTGTGCTTGCAGTCAGGGGCAAGTGTCGCAACCACAAATGTCGGACCAGCTAATTTGAAGAAAATCTCCGCAAGTCAACAATCTAGTTGCATAGATTCCCTCCTGGGATCATCCGATGAAAACTGGAATGAAAAAGAGAAGAGTAGTTCGGCCCCACTAGGATGACACACCAAGTTTGGTTCACGTGTCTTCAGCATGGAGGGAATGCAAAAAGTACAGCC